AAGAAATGACAAACATCTGGTTATCCGTGTGGCCATGTTATAAAAGTTGCTCTTCATCTAAACCAAGATGATTCAAGCGCATACACTATGGATTGCTACACTACAGAAGTATATCAACAGACTTATGCCGAGATTATCTATCCATGTCCACATCCTTCTGAGTGGGACATACTAGATGACTTACAAACAGTTTTGCCACCAGTCATGGACAGCAAGCTACCTGGCCGACAAAAAAATCACGATTGTATACCGTCTAAGGGTGAAGAGAAGAGGATATCGACATGTAGTTGGTGCAATGAGAGTGGTCATACAAGGTTGACATGTGGATCACCAGTGCCATCACAATCATCTTTTCCTCTACCAAAAAATGGATCTTCATCAAAATCCAAAGCTCATATGGTGCCAAGCAAAAGGAAATCAAAATCAAAATCGAAATAAAAATAAAAATCCCAATCACAACCGGCTTCACCTTTTGGGACTTATTAACTTAGGTGATTTTTAAATGCAAACGTTGTATTATGTGTATTTTATGTGTGAATGCATACATTTTCAGTTAGACATTCATTAGTAACTTGAGTTTGAACATTGATATGATATGTTCAGTTGTTATCATGTTGAGATTTTCTCTTGTGTTTGATTGCTTGGATAGTTGTTCTCTTGCTTCTTCAAGTGTCTTTAGCTTGTATTTATAGCTTGGAATGTGTTTGATGTTGTATATACCTTGATGTTGTATGTTGCGATCAATGCGAAAGTCAAATTCGCAACGCGAAATAAGCGTTGCTAATTTGACTATTGCGTAGTGAATTTGACTTTCGCGTTGCGAATTTGACTATCGCAACGCTTATTTCGCGTTGCGAATTTACCTTCAACATGTATTTTTTACCTTCAACATAATTCAGATTGAAAATTAAACAACAAATCAATTAAACATTGTTGTGGGTACATTATTTGAACATTGTTATGGGTACATTATTTGGAAAAATAATGTTCCGGACTTTGTTAGAAATAACCCTTTTTCATCGGATTAATTTCGTTTTTGTGTGTACATTATTTGAACATTGTTATGTATAAATTTGTTGTGTATGTATGTTTTGGTTTGATTATATTGTATGTATATTTTCATTCAGATGAGATGGGTTGTGTATAACAAAACAATATATCTCTTCCATGTGAGTATTTTATTCCAACCATGAGACAAGTGTGATAATCCCATCAACTCACAACTCAGCTTTGAACTCAATCAATATTGTCTTTTAGCTTGATGGTTCATAAAGCATGTTACTTGAACAGTATGAATCAATTATGCAATTTCCATGTTCAATTTAACACTGCATTTCAAATTCATTTCATATGTAATTGGAGTTTGAATTTAAATTTCAATTTGAGTTTGAATTTCAATATAAATTTCGGCTCCACTATAAATATTAGCCCAAGCCAATATGCATGTTATCATTGATTATTCCTAATTTCCATTGTTTTTTTCAACTTTAAACGCGAGGGAAATCCCGACCATCATATTTTTTGGTCAACTTTAAAGCGTCAGAAACGTTTCGAGCGTATGATTTGGGTGGTATACGAGAAATGCAACAAATGACAACTAAAAATCCTGATAATTGAGGGCTACAACTTGTAATAATAACAAAAATCCGAAATGCTTCTGAGTACCACCCAAATCATAAGTCTGAAATGCTTCCGATGCTCATCAAAATCCAAAGCTCATATGGTGGCAAGCAAAAGGAAATCAAAATCCAAATCTCATATGGTGCCAAGCAAAAGGAAATCAAAATCTACAACTTGAGTTTGAACATTTATATGATCTATTCAGTTGTTATCATGTTGGGATTTTATCTTGTTTGATTTTTTGGATAGTTGTTCTCGTGCTTCTTCAAGTGTCCTTAGCGTTGCGAAATTGGAAATTGGGTTGCGAAATTGGAATTCGCGTTGCGAATTTGTTGGTCATTTTGGCAAATCCAAAAAAAGTTGGTTAAATTCGTATATTATAAGGGATTTTTTGTCACTGAAGTTATTTTCTCATTTAAAAATTGTAGAGATGAAGAAAGTTTTGTTATAAAGTAAGAAGCACGCAAAATTATTAAGAAAACTACCTAAATTTTATTCAAACATGTATATTTACAAAATATATAATTTAATATTTTTATTAAATTTTTAAAAATTAAATAATTAAATATGTCGTATATTATTTACGTTATAATCTTATTTATTATTATACATTAAATTTATGTATTGAGTAAAAAATATGTTATATAAATGAATTCTTATATAGTGTAAATTTTAAAAAAATAAATCTAATTGAATTGAGTGACTAAAACGAAACAAAAACTTAAGTTTAATGATGATTTTGAAAACTAAAATAGTTGACTAACCAAAATAGAATCACACGAATAATTAAGTGACTAAATATATAATTTACCCTTAGTTTTTTTAACAGAATTAACACATTAGAAAAAGTAACGATTTAAATTTGGAAAGACAAAACATTCCAAAAAATATTACAGAGAAATTTCATATAAATAATATAATTTAGGGTTACGGTGCATTTAAACCATAAACTAATTTTAAATTTTAGGGTGGGTCCTCGTGAAAAGGACTCCGCCTGTTTTTGAGAAGTTGTCAAACTTTTTATAAATATCACCTAATATAAATTAATTTCGTATTTGCACCGTTTAAAATATTTATAAAATGAATACATGATTTTTTACACATTTTGTACAGCGCGGTGTAAGGGTGTGTTTTAGACCACGTGGCGTAAAACGAAATACAAGGGGGCGTCTTCCTGTAAAAATGTTAAATCAAAAAATATAATTTAAACGATGCGTGACAGAGAAATATATTAATTAGGGTGATATTTCGTGATAAACGCCCCATCAAACAATATCAGATTGTTGTTTCTTTTAGTGTGATGGTGACAAGCATCTTAAGTCATACAGCGGCCTTCGATAAATTTACAGAAAATTATTAAGGAATGAAACTTGATAGTTATCTAACGTGTAGAACAAGAAGAAAAAACAGTGAGATTTATTAGAAGGAAACTGCGGGTCTCGCTAAATGTCTAATGCCAAATTTTGTGGGTTTGAAGTTTGATTGATTGGTGTCAACTTAAGTTGGTTTCAGAGTAGGGCTCGATTTTTGTATACGTAACCAAAGTAGTATTATATATAAATAAATCAGGGTCAACTACTTATTTGGTACTCCGTTTACTTTCACATTTATGATTTGATCACCCAACTAATTCTTTTAAAAATCATAATTAAAGTTACTGTTTGTTTTTATTTTGTCATCAAGTTTAACCGTTAACTTAACAAAAATAATCATGTGGCATGGTATAATAACAATTTTAATCCCAAAACTTACATATTCTATTAAACTGGTTATAATTCAATAAATCCTCAACATTTAAAAATATTATTAAATTAATAAATTATTATTAAAGTGTCCAATTATTTCAAATTAAAATGAAGACAATTTGATAGAATTTTTAAATATTGAAGATTTATTAAATCATTTTGAATTATGATCAATTTAATAGAATATGTAAGTTTTGAAGACTAAAACTATTATAGACTAAAATTATTATTATATCATGTCACATCATTACCTCAATTTAGTCAATGGTCAAACTTAATAGAATATAAAAATAAAACTAAAATGCAACGTTAGATATGATTTGAAAAAAAAGAATATAATTTTTAATAGAGAAAATAACTTCAGTGACTGAAAATGTCTTATAATATACGATTTTAATCAACTTTTTTTGGATTTGCGAAAATGACCAACAAATTCGCAACGCGAACTCCAATTTCGCAACACAGGTTCAAAAATCGTAACGCGAATAGGTAAATCGCAACGCGAATAGGAAAATCGCAACGCGAATAGTAATATCGCAATGCTAATTACCGATATAGGTAAACAGTGCTATCACAACGCAAATAGTAAAATCGCAACGCTAATTACCGATATAGGTAAACAGTCGAAATGATTTTTTCTTTAAGAGGTGAGATTTTACATTTCGCAACACGAATTTGTCAAATTCGCAACTCAGTTTTCAAATTGGTCAATTCAGATTTTTGTCCGAATTTTTTCTACCGTGTTTACCTATGTCGGTAATTAAGTTGCGAAATTGGTGAATTCAATTTGTGAAAATAACATTGCGATATATTGTTTACCTATATCGGTAATTAGCGTTGCGAATTTGAAAATCGCGTTGCGATTTTACTATTCGTGTTGTGATTTTACTATTCACGTTGCGATTTTCATATTCGCGTTGCGATAGTACTGTTTACCTATATCGGTAATTAGCGTTGCGATTTTACTATTCGCGTTGCGATAGTACTGTTTACCTATATCGGTAATTAGCGTTGCGATTTTCCTATTTGCGTTGCGATTTACCTATTCGCGTTGTGATTTTGGAGCTTGTGTTGCAAAATTGCAGTTCGCGTTGCGAATTTGTTGGTCATTTTCGCAAATTCAAAAAATGTTGGCTAAAATCGTATATTATAAGGCATTTTCGGTCACTGAAGTTATTTTCTCTTTTTAATATGTTTAAAGGTGTGATTTGAAAATTATAAGTCCAATTGATAACCGGGGACAAGTAGAAGGGGACTAAATTCCTAGGAGTAAAAGAGAAGGAACCAATTTTAAAAATATGAAAAGTAAAAGACATGGGGACATAATTAGTGCGAAGGAACCAATTGATAACTGCTACGAATTCATTTATAGTTATACATGGAAACGACATGTTTTCGTGCTAGAGATGAACTAAAAAAAAACTCATTCAACTTAAACCCGACCAAAGCACTAAATTAGGCTTTGCAGGCCGCTACCCTCCCTACGTACCTGTCTTTAATGCTCTCCACCTCAACTACAAGTCCAACCATCTTTTCTTACCCTACCTACTAGTATAAACCTTAACCTTTAAGTCTTTCCCTTCATCTTCGTCTTACCTTTTCCTGCTCTATAAATTGAGTTAACTGATCTTCTTTGACTATTGAAAAACATAAACCAATTAACAAGAATGGCGAGTGAAAGGCAGATATGGGTAGTTCCATTCTTCGGGCAAGGCCATCTCTTCCCATGTATGGAACTATGCAAGCATATAGCCTCTCGCAATTTCAAAACTACTTTCATCATTTCCCCTAATCTCTCTTCTTCCATACCCTCTTCCTTCCCTGACCATACTCTCATCGAAGTTGCCCAAATACCCTCTCCGCCGCCAACTCCTCCACCTGAGCTCAATCCCAACCATCCCCATGGCCATAACCACAACTCTGATTTAGCTCAGGGCATTGCTAATCTGCTGAAGAATGCCGCCGTACCTGCCTGTGCCGTGCTAGATATCATGATGGATTGGACAGCAGACATTTTCAAGAAGCAAAAGATCCCAATAGTTTTATTTTTCACGTCGGGTGCTTGTTCTGCAGCTTTTGAGCACGCCATGTGGAAGGCTGGCGTAGTGGATATCAAGCCTGGAGAGACCCTTTTGCTTCCCGGTTTACCTAAAGAAATGGCTTTGACATGTTCTGATCTTAAACATGGCCCACCTCCTGGACCGCCTCCTGGGGTTAGGGGATTCGGGTTTCCACCTCCGCCTCCAGGACCACCACAACCACCACCGCAACCAGGTGGACAACCGCCCTGGATAGATGCTGCCAAGGACTCAGTTGCATTGATGCTCAATACTTGTTGTGATCTTGAGGGTCCATTTCTTGATTATTTAGGAATCCAAATTGGCAAACCAGTTTGGGGTGTTGGACCCTTATTGCCCCAACAGTTCTGGAAATCATCCGACTCCTTGCTTCACGATCGTGAAATTCGAGCCAACAGGCAGTCCAACGTAACTGAGGACGAAGTAATGGAATGGTTAGATTCAAATCCACATGGATCAGTGCTGTACGTATCTTTTGGTAGTGAAGTTGCTCCCACCAAGCGAGAACTCGAGCAACTGGCTGATGCATTAGAAGCCTCAACCAGATCATTCGTTTGGGTAATCCAACATGGCTCGGGCAGACCAGGTCCACCACCTGGACAACCTGGAAATCAACCTGGTTCGAGCTACTTCCCGCATGGTTTGGATCAAAAGGTTGGAAAAAGAGGACTGATAATACACGGATGGGCACCTCAGTTGTTAATATTAAGCCATGGATCAACGGGTGGGTTTCTATCACATTGTGGATGGAATTCGACAGTGGAAGCTATCGGACGTGGGGTGCCATTACTGGCATGGCCGATCAGGGGTGACCAGCACAGCAATGCCAAATTGGTGGTGAATCATCTCAAAGTGGGGTGCATGATTTCTGATGATCTATCTCAACAAAACATCAAGGCAGATGATATTGCTAAGGGGATTGAGAAGTTGATGGGAAATGAAGAGCTGAAAAGGCAAGCTTTGATGCTTAGCATGAAATTTCATCAGGGTTTCCCCTCGAGTTCAGTTGTTTCTTTGGACGCTTTTAAGGATCATATTGTTAACCTAAATGCAGATTAAGCACAAGATGGAATCCATTTTGTAATGCCTCTTTATTTCATCAACATAATACGGGGATTATAGTTTACCTTAGTAATTTCTTTGGCTTGGGCATCCCGATGCTGAGGGGATATGTATTTAGTTCTATTTTCCTTCATTTCTACCTAGAAAAAAAAAACGGTGCATTTATGTGATCGTTAAAGTTCAAATTTTGTTATGTATATAGACATTAAAACTTCCATTACTTTCCTGGAGATTCCATCTGCAAAAGAAGTGATATTTCTTAAGATTTTTAAATATCTGTGTCGTAACCATTTTTAAATAAAAATAAAATAATTTTGAAATAATTATGACTTTTTTTTAATAAATTGGATTTTTGTTTAATTTGAAATTTGAAGTCGTCATCGACCTTTGGATTACGTAGGTTGAATACCTCAAAACGTCTTTTAAAATAATTTTAAGAAAAATCATTTTTAAGATAAAAATTGGTCTGTGTTTACTAAAGATTTGTTTTTTTAAGGATTCGGGAGTCGATTGCGTGTGGGGAAGAATAAGCACCCCACATCACCTAAAATTGGTACCTCTCGGTTATATGTTGTCAACGTAGTGAAACTTTATATATTCAAATCCAAATTTTAAATCACAATCGTTATTATTTAAATGAATTTTAAATAATGAGTGAATCTATTATTATTATTTTAAAATATATGAATCGATAAAATATTTAATTCACTCTACTTTGTTTAAAAATGATGTCCCCTTACCACGTGGATTAACAAAAATTGAAATTCAATTATGTTGGACATAATTTCATTAATTCAAGACACGAGACGACATTGCCTTTGAATATTTAAAAACGCAAAAAATAAGTGCATGAGTTATGAATGTGGCATTAATAAATGTCATGTATAGGATAAATGATAAATGAAATACCGAATATAACATGAAAAATGATAATAAAATAACTAAACGGGTATAACAAAATAACTAAATAAAGGTAAATAGATAGATACATGAAACAAAATAAAAAATATCTATAACTAAAAAATTTAAAAAAATATTTTATTTAAAATGAATAAAATATATATCTAATTGACTTAATAAGAAAATAATAATAATAATAATAATAATAATAATAAATATTGAAATTAAAAACAATGGGAAACAACAGGGCTAAACATATAATAAATCCATAACACAAAAACCATTAAACCAAAAATAGTGACCAAAATGAATATGATATAAGATTCCAGACCCTAGATACTAATTACACATTAATATTATACAAGCAATGATGAAGGACCATATTGAATACTTCGCAAATCCTCATCCAAAATTAGAACATCTAGATAAATATAATAACAAATAGATTAGGACTAAAGTGAAATGAAAACTAAATGTTGAGCTTGAAATAAAAGAAACGAAACCTTCATTCGGTGACCAACATGGAAGGACTACAAAAGTTGAGACCCTCCATTCGTAGTTTGACCAAGCGGTAATATCAAGAACCTTAACACCCAAAACTACGTAGTTTTGATATAGTTATAAATACCCTTTTCCCCTTCTTTTTCATTTCATTTTCTTTTCATTTCATTTTTAAAACAAACTTTCTTTCTTTTCTATCTACTTTCTCAAGCCCGACTAAATTCTCCACCGCTAGCCACCGTCAACCGGCAATGGAGAAAAGAAGGGAGATCACATTCCGAAGCCTCTCTGTGTCCCGAGTATGGATCTGGGCTTCTATTGGCGTAGAAATGCTTCTAATGCAGTGGATCTAAGAAAATCTCTTTGGTGACCACGATTTCGATGGCCCTTTTTCTCTCCAGTGACACTCGTCACTTCAAAGGTGATCCTTTTTCCCTTTTTTTATTTTTTAGTTTTATGGTTACTCTCCCTTTTTCATTTTTTTTGTTCGAATCACTCTCTTGTTTTTTCTCTCATTTTTTTGTTCCAACTCCTCCCTTTTTTATCTATTGAATTTTTTCTTTCAAATCTCTCCCCTTTCTCTTGTTTTTCTATCCTTTTTTTTATCTATGTTAGAATCTCGTTTTTAAATCTGCTTTGCATTTGTGTTTGGTGGGAATAATAGAGGATTGGTGGGGTTAAGGATGATTCATCGATTTTTCGAGTATGGCCCCCAAATTTTCTACGATTGGGTTTATTATTATTATTATTATTATTATTATTATTATTATTATTATTATTATTTTGTGATTTATGAACATGGGTCTCGGATCCAGCTTAATGGCGGTGGCAGCACGGAGCTCCGGCGATAACGTCAGTGGCACTGTGAAACTAAATTAGGGTTAGGTTAGGTTAGGCTTAGGGTTTGTATTTGATATTGGGTAAATGGGTTTAATTGGTTTTGGGCTCGATTTGTAATTTGGTTTTATATGTTGGGTCAGTTGGATCTATAAATAAAAAAATATTAATAAAAATAAAGTAATAATAATAATTAAATATAATATTTATACATGACGAAAAATAGTGTCAATAGTTACCTCTCTTTGCCCATTAGTGTGAAGACACGAATAGGGCAAAGATAACTAGACAACATTTTTCGTTCGGATACATTTTTTGATTTGAAAAATCAATGTTGTCTCAAGTGAGACTGAAAACGATCTTCATTTCAAGGGAGATTTTTTTGAAGTTTTGTTACAAGGGAAACATTTTCAAAAGGGGTGAAATTTATGATGTCATAAGTTGTACTTTCAAGGGAAATAAATTTTAAGCAAGACATAATTTGTTTCAAGAGAAACAATGTCGATGCTTTGGGTTCCAAAAGGAAATTGTCTCGAGCAAGACAAAATTGGTTTCATAAGAAATTATCTCATGTGAGATAAAATTTTGCTTTTGAGAAAAAAATTGCCTTGAGTGAGGCAAAATTTGTTGTGTTTCAAGGGAAACTATGATAAGCTATATGAAATTTTGCTTCAAGAGAAGCAATCTCAAAGGATACAAACGATATGTTCCTTCGTGTTGAGGAAGTCTAATCGTTGTTTAATGATGTGATGCTTCGTTTGAGAATGTCATGTTTGTTGACGATGTTATTCCTTGGTGATGAGGAAAGCTAGTCGTGTTTGAATGATTGTGTATCTGAAGACAACATTATTCCTTCGCATTAAGGAAGTCTGATTGCCAGAAGATAATTTGATTTTGAAAATGACACGGTTCCTACTTGATGAGGAGATTTGGTCCCTTTGGGTGATTTGCTTTGTTAGGAAATAAACCAAGTACAAGTAATTTCCCTATAACCAGATTAGTGAGAATGCGAAATAAAAGCGGAAAAATAATACCCGAAATTTGATAACGGAGTTCAGCCAATTTATGCTTACGTCTCCGGACTGCTGCAGATCTTTTACTAAGAGAAAATTTACAGGTGTTTACACAACACACTTGAGAGAGAACTAGAAGATTTTGGGATGATTTTGAAGCTAAATGAGCTAGGGTATTTATAGTTAAAACTTAGGGACTAATATTGTAATTAAAAATAAAAATATTTTGGGCAGCCCCCCTCCCCAATTTGTTTTAGCAGCCGGCTGCTACTTAGCAGCCCAACTTGTTCTTTAATTTTCAACAATCTCCCACTTGAAGACTGATTTCAATCTGTCTTCACACCTCGATCGATGCAGCAGTATTTCTGGTCTTTTATTCTAGCATGCCAACTGAAGCTGAACACAACTTCAGTTTGTCCGTAGTTACCGTCTTTGTTAACATGTCTGCTGGATTTTGAGCTCCACTGATCTTTTCAAGTTTCAAAATCCCATCTTCCAGAAGAGACCGGATAAAATGATATCGCAATTGTATGTGCTTCGTCCTGGAATGAAAAGACGGATTCTTCGCTAGATGGATAGCACTTTGACTGTCGCAATACAAGACATTGTTTCTTGTTTCTTGCCTAACTCATTCAAGAAACTTTGGAGCCAGACCATCTCTTTGCTGGCTTCCGTAACAGCGACATATTCTGCTTCGGTTGTGGAGAGAGCAACTATCTTCTGTAGTTGAGAAACCCAACTCACTGCGGTTCCTCCTAGAGTATAGACATACCCTGTAGTGCTTCTTCTGATGTCAACATTTCCGGCTAAGTCAGCATCTACATAGCCTGTCAGTATCGTATCTCCACCTTTGAAACAAAGTGCTTTGTTTGTGGTACCTCGCAGATATCTAAGGATCCATTTGACTGCTTCCCAGTGTATTTTGCCTGGATTATTCATGTACCTGCTAACAGCTCCCACTGCTTGAGCAATATCTGGTCTGGTACAAACCATGGCATACATCAGACTTCCAATTGCTGAGGCATACGGCACCTTCACCATGTGTGCACGTTCTTCCTCCGTCTTTGGTGACTGTTCTTTGGAGAGTCTGAAATGAACACCTAAAGGTGTATTTACTGGTTTAGCATCTTGCATGTTGAACCTGGAGAGTACTTTGTTGATGTACTCAGCCTGTGATAACATCAAATTCCCCGACTTTGTGTCTCTCTTGATCCTCATCCCAAGAATCTGCTTTGCAGCGCCCAGATCCTTCATAGCAAACTGCTTCGACAATTTTTGCTTTAAGTGTATAATCTCTTGCATGTTTGAGCCTGCAACGAGCATGTCATCAACGTACAATAATAAAATAATGAAGCTGTTGTCGAACCTCTTGATGTAACAACAATGATCTGCTTGGCATCTGGTAAAACCACTACTACCCATGAAACTATCGAACTTCTTGTACCACTGTCTAGGAGCTTGTTTTAAACTATACAAGCTCTTCTTCAACCTGCATACCAGGTTTTTCTTGCCTGCCTCTATGAAGCCTTCTGGCTGCCTCATATAGATTTCTTCCTCCAAATCACCATGAAGGAAAGCTGTCTTTACATCTAACTGCTCAAGATGTAAATTTTCTGCAGCTACAATTTTCAACACCAGTTTGATTGTAGATAGTTTCACGACTGGAGAGAAAATTTCATTGTAATCAATACCTTCTTTTTGCTGAAATCCTTTGACAACCAATCTTGCTTTGTAACGTTTTCTCCCATCGTGCTCTTCTTTGATCCTGTAAATCCACTTGTTATGGAGCGCTCTCTTTCCTGGTGGTAATTCAGCTAATTCCCATGTCTGATTTGACATAAGCGAGTCCATCTCATCTTTCATGGAAGACTTCCACTTGACTGAATCCTCCACTTGCATTGCTTCATCATAACACTCTGGTTCACCATTGTCAGTCAGCAACAAGTAGTGTAAAGAAGGTGAATACCGTTGGGTTGGTTTAGGAATTCTGGAGGA